CCTCAGACACTTAAAAGCTGTGTGACCCTGGGCAAGTCACTTAATCTCATTTTGCCTGATTCACTGGAGAAGGAAAAGGCTAACCACTCCAGTAGCTTTACCAAGAAAACCCCATGGACAGCATTGGCATGATATTGTTCACAGGGTCAAGAGGAGTCACTATCCTATATCAGATGCAGACACCAAAATTGAAGTCATCAGAAGCAAGATTTTAAACAGAGATCCAATATTGGGTTGGCAGCCTTTCCTTCTGAATACTTAAGTTCTGGTTTAGGTTTTTTTTTTTTTAGGCAATTGGGGTTAAGTGACTTGCCCAGGGTCACACAATTTAAAAGTGTCAAGTGTTTGGTCTGAGGTCAGATTTGAGCTCAGGTCCTCCTGACTTTAGGGCCAGTGCTCTATCCACTACACCACCTAGCTGCCCCTCTGGTTTAGATTTTGCTGCTGCCTCCTTCATACTTGGTTTGGTTTCCTCCTTTCTCTTTTCTTTTTCTAAAATGAGGCAGTTACTTTTGCCTATCTTACTGAGATTCAGTGAGCAGAGTGACATACTAGTCTAGATAAGTTAAAAGAAATGTAGAGACTAAAAATAATAATAGGAGGCAGCATGGCATAGTGGACAGAGAGCCTGCCTTGAAGCTAGAAAGACCTGGGTTGTGGTTCCACTTCTTACATATCCTGGCTGTGTGACTCTGAGGAAATTACTTAACCTTTCAGTGCTTTAGGCAACTCTATTAAGACTTTTAGTTGCAGAAAAGATGCCAACCTGCCTTGGTAGAGGGAATTCTCTCACCTGGGAGTTCCCTATACTAATAGAGTTGCAAGCCTAGTCCCCATTCCCCCAGTGACACAAGAATAACTATATCTTATGCAGTTTGAACCTCACAACAATCCTCTGATGAAGTATTAGAGCTATTCCAAACACTCTGTATTATCTCCACTTTAAAGATGAAGAAACAGGTTGAAAAGGTTGTCCAGCCCCTCCAGGGTTACACAGAGAGGTGGCATACAACCTAGGACTGAGTGCAGTGACCTCCAAAATGAGGAGGGGAATCCTGGAGTAACCCCAGGTTCTGAGTGGTTTGATCAGCAAGGGGAGGATGGGAATAGGGTTTCATTCTCCTTCCCCCCTCTTCCTTCTGCTCTTTTCTCTTCCCCAGAGCCAGTCATGAGCTTGTCTCCAACACAGCTCTAAGACCCCTTAAACACTTCTTTTCCTTTTCCTCAGTCTAGCCTACTGGGGGATGTACTGGGCTTGGACTCTTCAGTGTGCAAAATTCCCCATGAAAGCCAATCAAGCAGATTCCTAGTTGTATAGGAGAAAGTGCTTCTGACCCCTAAGAATTAAAAAAAAAAATCTCTACCCTAGTGCAGTGAAAAAAACATTGAATCTGGTATCAAAGGACCTGGTTCAAACCCTGCTTCTGATGTACTATCTTTGTGACTTCAGGAAAGTCGTGTAACTCCCCTAACCTGAGAGGGCTGGACTATATAATAGCTTCTGAGATCCCTTCCAGGTGATAGGCAAATCATATAACCTCTTTCAATCTCAGTTTCCTTATCCATAAAAAAGGGATAACAATGTCTATATTACTGATGCCTGAGTTTCTACAAATAAAGATTATTTTGGCTAAAGCCTTTCTGTCTCTGTTAAAATGCAAATTGACTTGACAATGGTGACAGCCTTAGTGCAGTATACAGTAGTCCTGGGGAATGGGAGTAAGGGAGAGGAAGGGAGTAAGCATTTGCATAGCACTTCCTATATGGTAGGCACTGTGCCAGGCGCTTTCGAATATTATCTCTTTTGATCCTCACAACAACTCCCTAAGGTAGATACTATTATTATCCTAATTTTACACTTGAGAAAACTGAGGCAAAGAGAGATTAGACTTAACCAGGGTCACACAGCTAGTAAGTATCTGAGGCCAGATTTGAATCCAGGTCTAAAGCCCTATCCATTGGGTCACAATTGCCTCAAGTCCTGGTTCTCAACCAACTGTCTGACTTCCTTTCAATCTATTTTGCTGACACCTCATGCTTCTTACCTATGGCTATACTCCAAGGCTCTGTCCTGGCTCCTGTTTCTTTTTCTGTGCTCTCATTTGATGACCTCTTCATCTCCTAGATACATAAATCTGGGTGTCATTAGTAGAGAGTATTTACATATTTAGGCTTAGTCTCTCTCTCTCTCTCTCTCTCTCTCTCTCTCTCTCTCTCTCTCTCTCTCTCTCTCTCTCTCTCTCTCTCTCTCTCTCTCTCTCTCTGAGTTTGTCTTGTATTACCAGTTGCCAGCATTTCAAATGGAGTGGCCATAGCCGTTTCCATCTCAGCTTGTCTAAAACAACTCTTTCCATCCAAACCTAAACGTCTTTTGATTTTAAAACATCTTTTCAGTCTCCCAGCTGCCTCTAAATTCTCAACCTTTTCATCATCCTCAACTCCTCTCTGTCCCCTCACTTCTTATATACAATCACATACCTTCACAGTATTTTCAGCATATATTCCCTTCTTATTACTCGAACAGCCACACAACCACCACCTTGGTTCAGGCATTCATTGCCTCTTGCTTGGATTATTGCAATAGCCTTCTAATTTATTGGTCCCTTTGCCTCAGATCTCTCCCTACTCCAGTCCATCCACTATACAGCTGTCAAAATAATTCTTCCTAAGAGCAGGTCTGACTATATTACTCCCTTACTCAATAATACCAGTGACTTCCTATTGCCTCTAAGATAAAATATAAGTTTTTTTCCTTCCCCTTGCCCCTCATTTTTATTCTGTGTATGTTTTTTTAAAAAAAAAAGCAATATGTTTCTTGTAAGCAACAGATCCTGGGGCTTTTCTTATCCAATCTGTCACTTTAAAAAAAATGGATTTCTTAATCCATTTAAATGTAAAGTTATGAGGGGTTTATATTTTCTTCCATTTGTCCCTAATCTTGTCTTTTACTTTCAAATTAGGATTTACCCCCCTCCCTTCCTCTGTTGATAGAAAAATGTGTCTCCTCAGTTATTTTAGCTTCATTTATTTTAAAGCCACCCTTTTTCTACTAGTTCTCTTCCCTTCGCCTTCAAGCTATCCCCCTCTCCCTGTTTGTTACTATTCCTTTTCCTAATTTTGGAGGTTTGTTTATTAGTTTCTTTTTCTTTCTCTGTTTTCTAAAAAGCCCCTCACAACATGACCTCAGTCTACCTCTCCAGGCTCATTACTGTATATGGCATTCTTCTTCCAAGCGTCATCGGTCCAGTCACACTGGCTCTCTTCTTGTTTCTCTGATGCTCCATCTACTGCTTTTACACTGCCAGTCCCCCGAGCCTGGAGTGCCCTCCTTCTTCATCAATCCCCTCTCTGCCTTCAAGATTCTTTTTTCTTGTTAGTTTCAGCTCAAGAACCATCTTCTATGTGAAACCTTTCCTTGACAACCCTGTATCAAGTGCTGGTGCCCTCCCTTTCAAAATGACTTAAGAAGAGAGAGTGAGGCTGAAAACTTTGCTCAGCTCTGCTTCACTTAAATCTAATTCATGACATCACTGGTGATGTCATTAGTCCTCTTCCAAAACAAAGGAGGAACAACAACAAAACAACACCTTGTATTTTAGTTTTTTGTATACTTATTTTTTTTTGCATACTTATATACATATAATAATAGGTACATGTTGTCTTTCCCAATAGGATGTAAGCTTCTAAAAGGCAGGAACTCATTTTTTTCTTTGTATTCTCAGACCCTATTGTGCAGCACCAGAGTAGATGCTTGATAATTTCCTATCACTCAATTAGTAATTTATGCATCTTAGTATAAATGGTGGTTTTATCTGATTATTCTTTCACAAAAAAATGGGATGTGATAAATATCCAACCAGACATAAGTCAATTAGTACACATCAGAGTGGAGTAGGGAGGAGTCAAAGGGACCGGAATTGGGCAGTAGGTGGATAAAGGGAGCAGAAAGGATGTGAGAGGGATGGAAGAAAAGGTTTGCTTTCAAGTACGGCTCACCCAGCCACTGTGATCTGCTCTGTTGCTGTGGCCCAGTAGAAATGCTTACTTTCTAGAAGGATAAGGCAGAACTATTCAAATCACCATGATTTGGGAAATAGACACCATGAAATTCAGGTGATACTTATTCCGTTTACCTGCCTAACTCTTTGTTTGAATCCTCATTTGGCTTCCCCCCCCCCAAAGCATTTTACGTAAGTTGAATGTCTTCATCCTGATTCTCTTTAATGCAGAGCCTAGATGTTTCTCTAGGGGTATCTCAAACTATTTCATCATTCTAAATAGGGAATAATTTTTAATTCATTCCCTTCCTTTGGTCCTGGCACCACTCTGCTAAGGGCATTCTTAACTATCCTCTCCTTGTAACTGGACTGCCCTGCTAACCCCACTGTCCCAGAAGACTGAAAGCTTGCTCCAGGTTGAATACTGTTGAATGCCATGTTCTGGCACTGTCTGTGAGAGGTTGAATATTATTGTTCTGCAGTGTGAAGAATTTCTGTTCAGTTAGGAAGGCATTGAAATCAGGGTTTCTTACGTGGGAGTATTTAGTGTGATTGTTTGAGTGTGGGTGTATAGGGTATCTCAAAAGTTTTAGTGCAGCTTTAATAGCTTAAATAGGTATATGCTATATTGTATTATGTAAATTTAGTGGTAAATTTGTTTGGGGTGTGTGTGTGTGTGTGTGTGTGTGTGTGTGTGTAGGATTTTTAAAAATTATTTTATTTTTGCTTAGGAACCAAGGTATGTTGGCTTCACATCAATGAATAATTTTGGTTTCAGAGATAAAGGAAAACAGAAGTGCCTGTCTGCAGCAATGCAGCTACTTAAATGCCAAATTGCCCACTGTTTTTTTTAAACATCTCAAAAAACAGAGAGAATAAGGGTGTGTCATAGTAAATAATATTGGTGTTTCAGTTTTTAAGCTTCATTCTGGTGAATATGAAAATGGTCTTAATTTCTAATTTTAATGAAGAAATATGAATGTGTGTTTTTTTTCTCCCTAGCTCCTGCTGTGGCTGCTGAAGATGTAAAGAAAGATGCCAAGCATTCACAGGTACTAATTCTATTTGTGAAAATATTCTCTTTGTCTGAAATTCTTCATAGAACAGAAGATGAGGATGCTTTTTTTCTTAGGCTAATGTGAAAAAGAGATTAGAAAACTTATGAAGTCAGAGAATGTTAGACACGTATGGATCATTTGGTATCATCTCTAGTTCAAGTGCTTCATTTTACAAATGAGAAAACTGAGGCTAGGGATATGAAGGGACTTGTCCAAGGTTTTGGTGCCATAGCCAGGGCCTGTACCCAAATCAATAATATTTCTCCTTTAGCACACTTCATCTATTTGCCTTTTAGTAAATGTTTCATTTATTTAAAAAAAATGGATAGTCTTTTATCTATATAGATTAACTAGCATAGAGCATTGTAGAATATGTGCTTAGTAGATGTTTGTTAAAGGTAGCTAGGTGGTGCAGTGGCTAGAGTGCCGAGCCTGGAGTCAGGAAGACTCATCTTCCTGAGTTCAAATCCAGCCTCAGACACTTAATACCTGTGTGACCCTGGGCAAGTCACTTCACCCTGTTTGCTTCAGTTTCCTCTTCTATAAATTGAGCTGGAGAAGGAAATAGCAAACCACTCCAGTATCTTTGCCAAGAAAGCCCTAAATGGCGTTACGAAGAGTCAGACACAACTGAAACGACCGAACAACAAAATGTTTGTTGAATTTGAACCTGTGGCAGCACTCTCAATATTTATAGATATGCTTCTCTTAAAATGTTTCTTTCCATACTAGAAGAACAGCTACAAGTATGAAATTCGTTATTAAAAAGAGTTGATTCCACATACCCCAGAATTTCAGGAATTTGATTTTAATTTTGATACTATGTGTAAAAAACCCATAAGCTTACCCTACTCTCTCATTTAATTTTTTTCAGCCTATAAAATATAGGTGCTACTACATCGCAGGAGCTTTGCAAATCTTTAGCAGCTGCCATTTTGAGGATGGCAGTGTAAGAATGTGTTTCAGGCAGTGAAGAGCTGCAGAGAGCCTCAGAGTTATTACGTTAGGTCCTGCTAGGTTAGAAACAGAACACCTTAGACTATACAGAGACATGTAAAAACCAAACCAAACCCAAGAAGAGGTGATTACACTCTTTCATTGATTAAATTGCATTGATTTTATTGATTAATTTGCCCTTTTGATCACTGTTTAAAAACCTTACTTTGCTAATAATTTTCATATGAGGGCATTGTGATGTATCAATTTAGTACCTAATGGAAAAGAAATGGCATTTAAAACATGTTTTGCTTTGTCATTAATTAAAATACAATTGATTTTTTTTTCTTTTTTGAGACTAGTTCTCCTTGTGTCTTCTAGGCTGGAAGTGCAGCAGCCACTTATGGGCCCAATTTCTTACTTATCTACTTGGAAGCTTTAACCTATTCAGTCATCCCTGTATGGGCCATTTGCTCTTCCTTAAGCAGCCTAGAGGCCCTCTGCTCCCTGTTGGTGCTCAGTCATTTTTTAGTCATGTCCTGCTCTTCATGACCCCATTTGCGGTTTTCTTGGCAAAGATAACTGGAGTGGTTTGCAATTTCCTTCTCCAGCTCATTTTACAGAAGAGGAAATTGAGGCAAAATAGGTAAAGTGACTTGCCCAAGGTCACACAGCTAAGTGTCTGAGGCCAGATTTGAACTCAAAATGATGAGTCTTCCTGACTCCAGGCCTAGCACTCTATCTCCTGTGCCACTTAGCTCCTCTGTGGAGCTCACCATATTGCTCCTGGTCTCAGTACTAGTGCCCACTCAGTATTAGCCTCATGCAGCTCAGGATTTCCAAATTCAAGCCTCTGCCTCCACCACCAGCAGCAATTATAGGAGTGCATTACTACATCTGGCTGAGTCTTGGCTATATAAAAGGATTTTTAATGGAATGTTTCTTAGTAACCCCGTGTTGTATCCCTTTCAAACTGAATAGAGTATGAATCTCCCAAGAAATTCTGCACTGCTATAGTTAAAAGCAGTCTTCAAATTATTTTAGTAATAATGAGACTTATTTGTTATGGGTATAAAAATGCTACCTATGGTTCAATATCAGGGAATTAAAATTTATTTAATGAATTTGGAGATTAGTTCCACATATGTTCACTGGTGGGTTTCAGCTGATCTTTAATTTTGAATCAGGACATTATATCTTCTTCCACTTTTAATATGTAATGTCTTCCTATATTTTCATAGCATGTTTCATCCAAAGATATTCAATTCATTCTAAAAGTGTTGTTCATTCAAACAGTGGGCCTTTAAGGAGAGGCAGTTAGGTGGTGCAGTGGAATTCAAATGTGGCCTTAGACACTAGCTGTGTGACCCTGGGCAAATCGCTTCACCTTGTTTGCCTCAGTTTCCTCATATGTAAAATGAGCTGGAGAAGGAAATGGCAAACCACTCCAGTATCTTTGCCAAGATGGGATCGTGAAGAGTTAGACATGACTGAAAAAAGACTGAACAACAAATGGTAAAAACCTTTTCGTTCTGGTAGAAGAAAGCAGGCTGTGTGACACACTTGCAGTCCATGACACCTTGCCTGAGGTGACCTGATGCTCCTATTGCCTCTCCAGATTCCCAATCTATTGCTCATATAGACCTTTTAGCATTTACCAAGTCCTTCAAACTGCTTGAATATGTGGGTTCCTGGCCTACTATTTCCCATTAGTACTTAAGTGAACCTTTTCTCCAGGTGGTTGGCCTGGTTCCTGACTCCCAGCTTTGCCTATGACGCTGTACTTTTTCTTTACTCTGCACTTGTAGCTCTGCATCACCTCTTCTGATCCCCCAGTTCTTCATCCTGTGTCCACAACCCACTCTGGTAACTTGACATCACAGTGGTAAATGCTGGTTAAATTTTCTTGCGGTTGTAGGGGATGCATACCCTGAGCCCTCTATCAAAGCCAAGCAATTAAGGCAACAGAGAGAATTCAGATCTCATGGAATTGTTTTGTTTTTGTGGTGGCAAACAAATGACTGTTTGTCTGGAGTGTTAGATGCAAGCATCCTGCATGATTTGCTTATTCCAACACTCATTTTTATTCTAGTGTTAATGACTGAGGAGAAGAGTCAGGTTCATCTACTTCGCTTCTCAAACAGCATTCAGATAAAATGCTTGATGATTTTGATAAATAATGTTTTCTTTTGATGAATTTCCAAACTAGATATTACAGGGATGTATGTGGACTTTGATGTTCCAAATGACCATATCTACCATCTCTTAACACAAAAAACCTCAAACCCCGAAACCTGTCTAATGGGGTTGTGCTTTTCCCACGAGGAGAAGGAACCATATGCAGTATAGTTACATTATTAACATACCCTGTGTGAAGTTGAACTACATTATGAGTGACCTACAAAAACCTGACAGTGCCTACATTTGTGATTGGTATCAATAGTCAGGATGAGAAACATAACTGCAGCTGAGATAATAAAACAAGTCATGTCTTTCTTCTTAGGAAGAACTGTACCTTTTCCTGAGAAAGCCAGAGACTGAATTTTTAATGTTCTGTCAGTTTGTTTGTTTAGTCTAATTTTCTCTTTAGGGAGGAAAAATATTTGGGTTCATTTTGATTCCATTCCATTTCACCTAATTCATCCATCCATTCAAATATGGACAGGGAGAGAGGAAGGATAATATGAATTAAGCCTTTAAAAATCTTGAGTTCTAGCACTTTAAAAAATTAAGGGTTTTTTTTAAACTGATGAGTTTTTCTTTTGTATTTAGTTATATTTGGTACAAAGTCCATTTAACTTTGGCTTAAATATCCACTGTCCTGATATTTTGATCCAACTAACTGTCTAAGCTATCTAGTCTGGAAATAGTCATAGACATGTCTTACCTTTCAGCCTTATGATGGTGAGGTGCCCTACATTCATATATCACCTTCAACTTATTTTCAAAGTAGTTTAACATCTGCTGTCATGTATTATCATCAATATTTCTGATAGGTAGGTTGGACAGGTGTTATTCTTATGGCACAGTAGAAAAAACACTGAATTGGTAGTAAGGACACCTTGGGTCTGGGCTTGGCTCTGTCACTAATTAGTTGTATTGCCTTAGACATTAACTTCTACGGACCTCAGTTTTCTTATGTGTAAAATGAGGTTAGATAATCTCTAAGGTCTCTCTGTTTTAAAATTCTATGATTCCATAATCCCCATTTTATAGATATGAGGAAAAATCCTTTAAAACATCAACAAACATTTATTAAGTATCTGTTGTTTGCCAGGCACCGTCCTAGGCGTACATGAAACAAAACAAAAAATTAAATAACCCCTGTCCTCAAGTAACATGTTTTATTGGAGGATATAACACACACCTTGTATATATATAAGTATATATAAAAGGAATGTAAGTGTAAATATAGAAGCGTATATGCTGATAAGTGTAGGTATATATAAAGTGAATCCTAGTTTATGGAGGGATTAAAGATAGAAGGTGCTAGCAGTTGTTGGAGGTGAGGGGAAAGGGATGTGGTTGGTGGTTTTTGACCTGAGTCTTGAAGGAAAAGAGTGTATTTCAGCATGGTGGATGGCCAGAGCCAAGGTGGGAAATGGGAGATGGAGTGCCACTGAGAGGAAAAGTAAGAAGATCAGTTTGACTACACCATAGTGTATGGGACAGGAGAGGAAGGAATGGGGGTTTTAAAATGTACACGTGGTCTAGATTGTGAAGGACTTTAAAATCCAAATAGGAGTCATTATTGTATCCTACAGGTAATTGGGAGCTTCTGGAGTTTATTGAGTAGAGGAGTGACATAGTCAGCCCTGTACTTAAGGCAAATCACATTAGCATCTATGGGACAGGTGTATAGGACTGGTGATCGATGCAAGAGGTGATGATGCCCTCAACTAGGTTTGTGGCCATGTGGGCAGTAAGGAGTCAGATGAGAGAGATATTGTGAAGGTAGAAATGACAGGACTTGACAACTGGTATGTGGGGTAAGGAAGAACAAAGAGCTGAAGATAATGCTGAATTCTGGGAATCTGGGAGACTGGAAGGATGACGGTGCCCATGAAAGAAATCGGGAAGTTCTGAAGAAAAGTGGATTGGAAGGGAGAGGAAATGAGTTTGGCTTTGGACGTGTTAAATCTGAGGTGTCTTTTGGACATATCATTTGAAATGTTTGGTAAATAGTTGGTGATGCAAGATTACAGCTGAGAAGAGATTAAGGTTGATTACATAAATCTGGGATTTATTTGCACAGAGATATCCTTAAATCCATAAGAGTTAATGAGGTGGAGGGGAAGCGGACAAGAGAGCAGGGGGATGATGGAGGGGAGGGCAGATTGGGGGAGGGTAATCAGAAGCAAACACTTCTGAGGAGGGACAGGGTCAAAAGACAGAATAGAGTAAACAGGGGGCGGGATAGGATGAAGGGAAATATAGATAGTTTTTCACAGCATGACTACTATGGAAGTATTTTGCATGACTACACATGTATAATCTGTATTGAGTTGCTTGTCTTCTCAATGAGGGTGGGAGAGGAGGGAGAAAGGGAGAAAATTTGGAACCTAAGGTTTTAAAAACAAATGTTAAAAAAAATTGTTTTCACATGCAGTTGGGAAATAAGATATACAGGAAATGGGATATAGAAATCTATTCTGCCCTACAGGAAAATAGAAGGGGGAGGAGATAAGAGAAGGGAAGGAGGTAGAAGAAAGGGCAGATTAGGGGAAGGGGATATTCAGAATGCATGTCACCTTGGGGTGGGGGGAGGGACAAGATGGGAAGAAAATTTGGAACTCAAAATCTTGTGGAAGTGAATGTTGAAAACTAAAAATAAATAAATACATTTTTTTTAAAAAAAAGCATTAATGAGGTCACAAAGTGAGAGGGCAGAGAGAAGAGAGAAGGCCCAGGACAGAGTCTTGGAGTACAAACATAGATAGTGGGCAGGACATTGGTGATAATCTGACAAAGGAGACTGAGAAGGAGCCGTCAGGTAGGAGAAGAACCGGGAATGAATAGTGTCACTAAAACCCAGAGAATAAAGTATCTACAAAGAGAAGGTGGTCACTGATATCAAATGCTGCAGAGATGTGAAGAAGGATGAAGACTAAGAAAAGATCATCACATCTGGCAGTTCATCTCACACTCAGCAATTGGGCAGAGATTCTGAAAGAGGAGAACGGTCAATGTTGGAAAGGTGTTGGAAAAAGGGAACAGCAATGTGAGAACTGTGAATTAGGCTAAACATTCTGGAAAGCAATTTGGAATTATGCCAAGAATGTGCCATCTTATCATCAGAGACTGGAGGAAAATGAGGAGAGAGCCAAAGATGACATAGGCTTTTGAGACGAAGAGAAAGAGAAGGATTTCAGTGCTAATGGCTTCCATTTTCTCAATAAGAGGAAAAGCCTTAGCTGAGAGAGTTGTGGGAAGGTAAGATGAGGAAAGTTTGAGAAAGGAAGCTTAGGATTAGCTTGGGCTAGAGAACCAATTAAGGAGGAGTAAAACTATTGCCTTGTTACAGTGAGTGCCCAGTTAAAGTTTAACCCTTTAGCTCTATTGCCTAACTTCATTAGCTCTCCATTGCCTATAGAAAAATGTCCAAACTCTCAGTTTGACATTCAAGGCCTTCTTTAGTATGATCTCAAAACTATCTTTGCTGTTTTATCCCTATTAATTCTCCTATCTGTTGAGAAAATCTTAAAATTGTAAGGGACTTCAGAGGTTGCCAGTCCGATTTGTACCTAAAACACAAATTCTTCTCTGCCACCACCTGATTCTGTGCTATAGTCATAAAGTACTAGTTCGTGTTCCCCAAGTCAGGCTTGATACAGTGAAATAGGTACCAGCAGTGTGGGGATCAACAGTCCTGGTTCTAGTCTTGGTTCTGCCATACTTTTGCCATGTGGCTTTGGGCAAGTCACTTACTCTGGGCCACAGTTTCCTCATCTGTAAAATGAGGGTGTTGAACTGGATAATGTCTGAAGTCTCTTCCCATTCTGTCATTGTATGAACCTCTGATTCTTAAACACCCCTACAATGTCTCCATTCAGTGATTTTTCTTATGCTTTTTCTTATGCTTAAAATGTCCTTCCCTTATATCCCCACCTGTCAATGTCCTGCTCATCTTTCAAGTTCCCACCCAGATGCTTTCTCCTTGATATCCTCCCCTGTAAACAGATATGAACCACTTCGTAGGAACCTCCATAGAAGTTATTTTTAAATTTATTTTGTGGAACCTATCACAATAGTCTAGCTTTAAAAATAGCTAATTATACTCCTATCTCAGTCCCCATACAAAAGGCCAGGTAGTCTATTTATTCAGCTTTATGCCAACCCCTACCCTCAGTCACTCAAAGATGTCATTTTGGAAAATAGGTTTAATAGAGGTGTTTGTTTCCTCATTACTACATTTTATTTTTCTTCCCTAAATGATCATTCATTTGCCAAGCTAAGTAGACAAATCCCGGTTTTGTAAGGGAAGATCCATAAATGTAGTCTTGGCAAAGTCTGTAAAGAAAATTGAACACAAAAAGACCTTTAGTGGATTATTTGCTGGGGGTCCAGCCACTGCATATGGCAGTATAAGGCTGGAGAAAGTAAGGTGCTAGGTACCACACCCAATAGAACTCAGAATGGTGGATAGAACTTGAGACTTGGAATTAGGATGACCTGAGTTTGAATCGTGATCAGACACTTACTAGCTGGGCAAGTCACTTAGCCTCAGTTTGCTTCTCTGTAAAATGGGTATAATATCACCAATTGTGAAGATCACATGAGTCAACATATGTAAAATACTTTGCATACTTTAAAGTGCTATATAAATGCTAGCTGTTACTATCATGATGTGACAAAGGCAAATTAGAAAGAAAACCCACTATATATACTACCAAGACAGTGTCATATAATCAATAGAGACCTGTTCTCAGAACTCATAACAGTTATATTATTATTACAAATAATCATAAATTATACTTATAAATAATTGTAGCTGATATTTGTATAGTACTTACAATGTGCCAGGCACTGTGCTAAACACTTTACAAATATTATTTCATCTGATCCTTACAGCAGCCCTGGGAAGTAGGTGCTGTTATTATCCCCATTTTACAGATGAGGAAACTAGGGCAGACAGAGGTTAAGTGATTTGCCCAGGGTTACACAGCTAGAAAGTATCTGAGGCTGGGTTTGAGGTCAGACCTTCCTAACTACAGGTGCAGGGCTCTAACCACTGTGCTACTTAGCTGCCCCAGGTAGACCTAGGTTGAAGTGTTACTTTTCACACATACTGGCTACCATGACTTTGAGCAAGGCATTTAACCTCTCAATTTCCCAATGAACTCTCCAAGAGTATAAGTTTCAGAGCCAATTTATGTTAGTAAAGAGTTTTTCTTACTGGGAATTCCTCATGCCATTGAAATTACAAGTGTGGTTGGCATTTTGTATTTTATTCACAAACAACAATATTTGCTTTCATTCATATAAGACCTTAATGCATTATAAACATTACTTCATTTAATCCTCACAAAAATCCTGTGAACTAGGGACATTATCCCAATGTTACCTATGAGACAGTATTATTATCTCCATTTTAAAAATGAAGAAACTAAGACTCAGTGAAGTTAAGTAATTTGCTCTCTCATATATACGGCCTCTGAGTGGCAGGATTGGGACTGGTTTCATCATGCTGCTTCTAAAATACACTTTTCTTAGCCTGATATTTGAGGGTCTTTGGCTCACTCATAGACTGTATATTGCAGTCAAATTGGACTACTAGGGTTATATAATTTAGGAATTGAAGGGATGATGAAGATTATATTATTCGACACATCATTTAACAAATGAAGGCAAGTTATTTTTCAGAATCTGAGTAAGAAAGAACCTCAGAGATTCCCTCTGAACAGGAATGCTTTCTACAAGATCCCTTAATGATTCCTTATCACTCCCAAGATATTAGAAAAGTATAAAATAAGAATCTTCATTTTATTTTATTTTATGACTGCCTTAATTAATCCCCAAAGATGATAAAATATATAAAAATTAAAGGAATTCATTGTTATGAGAAATATACCACTGAATCCTATCATCTTTCTAAGTTTTTTTTCCCTTGATATAGTTCACCAAATAATTTTTTTTTTAATAAGTCTATCCTCTTTCCATCTCATTTTTGGGCCAGATCTTTTTTGTGAGTGAGAAAAGGGAGACATTGTCAAGCTCTCCTATTCAAATTCATGATCAGAATAAGTACCTTTCCAAGAGCTGTGATGTCTGATTGCATATGTTTATTCCATGTGTTACCATATTTTCCACATATGATGAGATTTTTTTCTTTTTTTTTAACACAGAATTTGGGAAAAAGTAGAACGTCAAGTAAAAATGACTTAGGTAAGTAACTGGAAAAGTTTGTTTTTATGTTTGTAGACTTGAATATTTTAATCTTGCAATATTGCAGTAAAGTATGGGTTTCCTTTTGTTCTTGTTGATGTGTAGAGTAAATATTTTTTGATATATTATCTCAAGACTAGCTCCTTCTCCCAATTTTTGTCAATGACTAAGATGAAGCTGATGGAAAGACATAGGGAACAGAAAGCTAGGAAGACTATTTGATACAGTGGGTGACAGAGTCATGTTCAAAAACCACCTGAGGTTAAGTGCCTTGCCCCGTGTTGTCACCCCATTAGCATCAGCACGGAGATGGGAACCCTTTTCTCTTCTCACTCTCAGTATAGTCCTTTCCTCTCCTTCTTCAGCTTCTTCTCCTGTGCCCTGCACTACCCAGGTAAGAGGTGAGTGTATGCAGATAGATAGACCCTTACTTTTCATAAAAGACTTTCCATGACAATTTGGTGGTTTTAAAATCTTTGTTCTATATAAATTTTTACAATGAAGTTATAGAATGGGTTTTGATCCTTTCCCTCAAGATTCTTTTTCTTTTTCTTCATTTCCTTCTTCTCATCTGCTCTGTTTCCTTTTCTTGACCAAGTGTCATCTTTAGTATTTATTTTATTAGTATTTATTTTATTTTTTGCTTACTTTATATTTATTGTTTATTTTTTATTATTTATTTTATTTAGTATTTATTATTTATTTTGGTCTATGTGTTCAGTTTCTTTCACTTGCTTCTTTGTGTCTTCCCCTTCCCTTCTCTAGAATGTCATGGCTTTCCTCATCAAGATACTTCTCATATCTTTTTCTGGTGGAAAAACCATGGTGCTGTGTTTTGAGTAGTTGTAGCTTTTTAAGTAAATACGATGGAATGAATTGAGAAAGGCCGCATAACATGGTAGAAATAATACTGGCCTTGGATTGGTATTCTACCTTTGTGACTGTGTGTCCTCTGTTACTTCTTCTGCTTTGGTCAGTTCCAGCTTTAGATCCATAATCCTATGAGTATAGGAAAAATGATGAAGTAAATAACCAAGTTATCTTACTTGTTTCTGTTCCTTGGGCTGCTACTGAGTAGGGACTTAGAGTTGGAAGATAAGTGAAGAGTGTAAATGATGAGGGCTCTTATTTAAGTGAAACCTGAGGGCTACTATCAGAAGTGATGGGATAAAATTGAGGAATGCTATGGCTTTTACTCTCTCCAATAATTATCCAGAAACAAAGATTATTCTTTGTAGGGTATTGTCAAGTCAATAAGCATGTATTAAGTTGTTTGTTTGTTTTTTTCACCATTCACTCAGCAGCGCTGTGCTAAATGCTGGGAATGAAAATACAAACAGAAAGACAGTATTTGCTCTCACAGAGATCATATTCTAATGAGGAAAGACATAAAAAGGGAGATGCATGAAAGGCACCTGAAATGCTGAGGGTCAGGGAGGTGGCTGGTCATGAAATTACCAGGGCCATGGTGGAGGAAGGTGGAGTAAGGAGTGTAGCCTGGAAAGTCATGGCTGTCCTGGGCCTTTTCCTTAAAATGGTAGTTCTAGGAGGATAGAGGCCATAGTGACTGAGGATACTTCAAAGATGTGAATGAAGGCCAGGGTTGGAGTGTGTTTCTAGGGTAAAGAGGCTTCTGGGACAGGGGAGAGGGTACAGAAAGTCTGGCAGGGTCATGAGTGCAACCTGAAGAGGAAGAATGTGTCAGCATTTGAATTATTTTTGAAAAACAAACATTCCATGATTAGCTTTTTTTTTATTATAGGGAGACTCAAATGACCCATAAGCCTTTTCACATAATGAATTTCACTGAGGCTATAACTGGGTTCCAGCAAGTTGTCTATAAAAGTAGTTGTCAGCAGTATTTCTTCCTTACCCAACAATGCTGAAGTTACCTTGCCATGTACATAAGAAAGGAAATACAAAATCTTTGGAAAACAGAAGCAGCAGCCTTCATGGGAGCATATATTTAGAGCTGGAAGGGACCTTAAAAGGTCTAGGTTAGCCTAAATGAGGCTAGCATCCTTATTTTATTGATGAGAAAACTCAGGTTGAGGGAAATTAAGTAATTTGCCCAGGGAAGTATCTGAGGTGGGATTGGAACTCAAGTCTTCCCTGAGTCCAAGTATAGTTGCGTTACTGATGAAGCCTTTCATTGCTGACCCTGTAGAAATCGTGGCATCAAATATATAGACAGTAGCTCACAAGTATAAAGAGAGAAATTTGCTATTTCAGAGTTACTTCCTTTGATGAACACAACTGTCATGGACATAGGACAAATAGTAGCATGACCATTTTACAGGGGAGAAAATTGAGGCTCAAGAGCATTTCTCATCACAAAGGATGGCTGGCCTGTTTGCTGAGATGGTCAGGTTTTGCTGAATGGAAGCTGGCACACTTGGAACTATGGATCTGGGCTAACATTTCAGTTCTAACTAAAAAAACCCAACAAATTAAAAAAGAGACAGCAGCCATGTAGATTTATATATTTTAACGTCTAGACATCATATTATTTATATACATATAATCTATAATATCTAATCAACTTAAATCTATGTTGTAGATTTAACAGGGAGTGGGTCATTTCTTATCTTTGTATACCTTTGTATTAAGTGCCTTGAATCATTGTGGACAATAAGATGGGTGGTGAGTTGAATGAAGAACCTGTATGTATTTACATATAGCTATCAACATGGAATTTTCCCATATTAAATTTTTATTAGGTTTTCATCTGAGACCATTTGGAGGCAATGTTTAGAATTTAGATGAGAATTTTATATGCAAAACAGCAAATGGAGCAGTTGGCTGGTAGAACTGCAGAACAATAAAAGACAGCTCAATAAAATTTTATCCCAAGCAATATTATTGTACTCAGTCAGACTGAGTTGGGGTGGGCAGGTGCTGGCATCCACTTACACCAAGTCTGACTTCTTGTACCCACTTCTCTTTTCAATGGGTCTGTAAGAAGAAAGAATGGGAAAGCGTATTCAGGTCATAGAAGGGAAGAGAGATAAAAGTAAAAGCTAGCTTTTACTGTATGGAGGAGTATGTTGAAAGTATATGGAGGAGTTACTGTATGGAGGAGTATGTTGTTGGAAGGGAGGTAGCCAGTTTCTGGAAGGATGTAACAAAGTTCCCTGGGATCTAACATTGTACTGCTGTAGGGTGGAAACTCTTTGAGGACGGAGACTTTTCTATTTGTATAGCCCCTGACATGGTGCCTGGCCCATAATAAGTATTCAATCATGGCATTTTGGTTGATTGTTAGTTGATTTCTACATTATCGGGTTAAAGGATGACAATGCCTGATTGTATTTCTCTGATCTGCCAGCTGGAGTATCCATCTCAACCAGCAGGGACCTAGTGACTAATTTTTGAGCTCTCAGTTTCTAGCACAAAGGACTTTTCTCTTCCCAGGCAAGCAGACCCATCTTATCCAGGCATTTCAGTTGGCAGGCAAATACCATCAGGCTTATTTTAGATGTGCTTTATGCAACATTTCATTCTTAAGCACCAAGTACTGACACATTTTTATATTGCTGTTTTCATGGAGATAATACTTAATCCTGACTACCTGACTTCTGGGAGATCTCAGGGATTATAGAGATCTTTGTGAAGAGTTTTGAATGCTTAGGGAGATAGGAGCAACATACCACTATTATTTAGTGGCAGTATACCTCAGGTTATCCCAAAGATTCCAGGAATGGCTGGTTTGGGGATCATATGGCACCTGTTCCAATGTTCTAGTCTCAACTTGAATTCTCAGCCACATGAGGCAGGTGAATTTTCAGAAAACTGCAGATAATTCCCCATGAATACATGCATCATTGTATCTGTTGGATGACACAATCAGAAGGAAGTGAGCAGGTCCAGATGCAGCCTGAGTATAGTAATATTGTTTCCTTGATGCTGCACTCCTCTTAGGTCAGGTTTGGAGGTTTGGAAGAACATTGTAAGGGTGTAGATTTATAGGAATCCTGATTACACAAGGCAGCTAGCTAAGTGGTATGGTGACTAGATAGAATAATAGACTTGGAGTCAGAAAGTCCTGAATTCAAATCCTGTCTCAGACACTTATTAGGTGTGTGACCTTGAACAAGTAACTCTTCTCTCAGCCTCAGTTTCCTCACTGGTAAATTGAAGTTAATAATAGCACCCAGCTCCTAGGGTTGTTGTGGGTATTAAATGAGATAATATTTGTATAGTGCTTTGCAAACCTATTAGCTATATTCAAAGAGTTATTGATTTCCTGCCTGGTGCCTTGTATGGTTTCTTACTTTTCCCATTTACCCTGGCAATGGGGAAAAGCAAAATAAAACAAAAAAAACCCAACTCACCTAATATTCCTATTTTCTGATTCACAGACTTAAAAGAAGTTGTATTTGTCATCCAGAGTCAAAGTAATTCTTTTCATGCAGAGAGAGCAAAGCAATTAGAGCAAAACATCTTAAAACAGGCTGCTGATCTTACCCAGGTAGGCAGAAACCGCAAGGATTGAATGTTTGTTCTGCATGTGGTTGCGGATGTGTGGGTTGTCTGCACGACTTGTTCTTTCATATATGTTTGACTCTCATTAAAATGTCTGGATTGAAATATATTGTGTTCACTTAGTACTGGATGTTGACTCTTTAAAATTCTGCACTTTATCACCAATGCTTTTAGTATGACTACATTCTGAAATATATGTATAAAGAGAATGCTGGGTCTGAATTTTGGCATGAAGTATAGTACAAGGAAGTAGAAAAGAATTTTTAGAAGGGAAAATATAAAAATTGGATAATAAGATTCAGAATATTTAACGTTTCATTCATAGATAGTTTTGCATGTTTGAGATAAAACTTGAATTCATTTTGGTGACATGGTTGTTTTGATTTCCTATAATTTTTTGCTTAGATTTAATTGCCTTTGTGATATAATTTAATTTGTAATTTGGGTCCAGAATACCTCCTCTGATGCATCTCCCCCCAGTCTTGCCCTTAGATCAACCAATCCATAAACATTTATTAAGTGCCTGTGATTGCCAGCTGTTGCTAAGCTCTGGGGATACAAAAGGAGGCAAAAGATAGTCTCTGCCCTCAAGGAACTTATAATCTAATAAGATTGGTATTTGAATACAAGGAGGAAGCCCTTAAACTTCCAGAAGAAGAGATGATACGCCACTGATACTCCATGATTCCTTCAGTTCAATTTATCCTTTAGTATGAAGGAATACTTAAGACTATGATATGATGCTTACATGACAGATATATGTGAAGAAATCACATATGTTCATAAGTTAAAGTGGGCAAGCTTGGCCTACTTGAGGTGGCTATGTGGCGCCATCGTGCACAGAGTACTGGGTCTAGAACCAGAAAGACCTGAGTTCAAATTTGGCCTCAGACATTTACCAGGTGTGTAACCCTGGGTAATTCACTTAACCTTTGTCTGCCTCAGTTTCCTCAACTCTATAATGGGGATCATAATAGCACTTACTGCGCAGAATAGTTGTGAGGATTAAATGAGAAAATATTTGTAAATTGCTTAGCACATCGTAAGCTTGACACCTAGTTGATTCTATGTAAATGTTAGCTGCTTCAATGTTGTTATTATTATTATTAATTATGATTCCTTCTTTCAACCAGCTATAACTTGTCCATTTTGCCTGGGTCACAAAGTGCATCTTTTTGTGTGTTTTTCTAAGAGGAGCATATACACTCCTTTATATCATTTGGGGGCCCAGACCCATGATTTCACTGGTCTAGGGAACTTCTGGCGAGGAGAATTCCTCTACCAATATAGGTCAGCACCTCCTCTGCAACTTTATAGTCTTACAGAGTTGCCTGTGACCCTGAGAGGGTAAGCCCAAGTTCACAGAGGTTTGTGTCAGAGGTGAGACTTGAACCCAGAGCTTAGAGACTCCAAAACTGATTCCTCATCCAACATGTCACATTGTGTTGCATTAATAGTAAAGATATTTTTTTTTGTATTTGGCTGAAGTTCTATGACATAATACCCCTGCATTGCTGTTATGTTTCAAGATGGTATTGAATTTGAGTTACTCAACATGACGCTATCTCATTTTGCTTTATTACCAAAGAGCTCTTTTGCAAAGGAAATACATATTCCAATAGAGGATTCTTCTTTGGTGATGGGGGTGGTGGCAGGAAGGAAGAGGATGCTGTATGGAAAAATGAGCAGTCTTAGTGACCGTTTTATTGATTAATACAAAGGCCAATGAATAATGGCTATACTTAATGCTTAACATTTTCTCAAGTTGTTTTAAGTAGTTAGGTAATAAGTAAATGTTGAATGAATTTAAAAAATTGTCTTGTTCAACTTCATGACCTCTGTAAGTTATTGAAATCCATGGAGGGCAGGGAAGTGTTTCTCAGGACATGCCAGCCTCTAGATTAGCTGTCTTCTATTATCTATATACCATACTACCCATGACTGTACTTTAAAGAGATGGAAGAATTCCTGGCTACAGTTCAGACTTTGATTATCTTCAGGAATAGGAGACAGGGGAAGCATGACTAATTAATTGTTCATGATTAATTTATCTCTATTATAAATATTAAAAACAAACAACTCATTTTAAGTGAGCCTTCTATATTATCTCCCCCTAAACTTTCACCGTTTCATTTGAACTGTTAATGAGTACCCAGCCTAGCTGGTATGGGTTTCTTTTCCTTTAATTTTCCATGCCTGTTCTCCAGGGGGAAAGGTAGGCATTAAGGAGAAAAGGGAGAAACCAGTAGCCTGGATAATTTGCAAATTGCATCTAATCAAGAGTTCACAGAACTGAAATGAGTTCACTTTACTGTGCTTACCTCTAAGGAAAAATTCTTTGATTGACAGTAACATTGATGGGCAACTATCCTTCTGTTATATATATTATCTATGTGCTGATAGGGGCCATAGATAGTGAGTCTTAGCTTCTTATCTTCCCAGCATGCACTAGAAACCCCTTTTTCCTTCTTGGTTAGTCAGAAAGGTGTTTTATCTTCATCCAGCTTTTTAGATTATGAATTCCACTCTCCTCCATTTTCCCCATTTGATCCATACTAGTAATACACAGTTGTCTCCATTACAGAGAATGATTCAGAGTTGGACACATTGTATTTTATCAGAAGAAATACAGGTATTCTTTTTTTTTTTTTAATAATATCTAGAGTTAGTTAGTTCCTTTAGGATAATATACTTAGAGCTGGACTGGACCTCACCAAGTCCAGTCTCTTTATTTTACAGATAAGGAAATTGAGGGAGGCTCAGAAAGATTAAATGATTTGTTTAAGTCAATATTTGAACTCAGATCCTCTTACTCCAAATCTAGAACTCTTTCTTCTGCACCTTCCTGCTTCCTATATAGAACTGCTGTTCTATTTAGCTCAAACTGGGGGAAAGGGTAAAGAATAGTTTTGAAATGAGTTCTGGTAGTGTGGCTTAGTAGATAGAATATTGGACCTGGAGTCTTGAAGTCCTGGGTTCACATCCCGCCCCTGACATTCATTCGCTGTGTGACAAGAAATAAGTTGCTTAACCTTTCTAAGCCTCACTGCTTCATCTGTAAAGAGGGGATTAGTAATCCCTGTAGTGCCTATCTACAAGGGTTACCATGAGGCTCAAATGAGATAGTGTGTGTATAAATTGCTGCATAAATAGCAATAATTGCTATTATTAGAAAAAATCAGATATGAGTCAAAAATAAAGGCAAGTAATTCTTTAAGATAATTTGGAAATAAACCTCTAAATTACTTTCTAATGTTTTTTTCTTGACCTCTAAACTTTTACTTATGGACCAAAGACTTATCTTTAACTTAACTATTTATTGTCCCTTGAATATACCATGTGTACTCCCTATCTCCATACCATTTCTGTTGCCATTTATATGGCCTTAAAATCCTCTCTCCCATCATCTCCATTTATTTAGAACTTATCCATCCCTTTAAGCCCCTTTCCCTACCACCTCACCCTACAATGATTCTCTTGTGTTGTTCACGTGGCACTTGTATGTTGCCTTGAATTTCTGATGATTTTTGTACATGCCTCTAGTCTATTGATTTGATTTCTTTTTATTCCCCACAGCAGCCAGCACAGAAGTTGTTTCCTTTTAGCTCCAGATTTGTGATTTTGTCATTCCCTTGACCTTCCTGTGTGGAGAAACCTTTAGCTTCATTCAGATCTGAAGCTCCTTTACCATTTAATAACCTAAGGTGGTTAAGTAACCTGAGAGCAGAGAGATTAAGTGACTTACAAAAGGGTTACATTGCCAGTATATGTCACACCCTAGTCTTCCTGACTCTAAGGCCATCAGCTCTTTATACCCTGGGCTGTGCTACTTCTCTAGAGATAGGAGGTGCCCAATCAATGTTTCTGATAGATTATTGTCAGGATAATTGCAAATGGTTACAAAAAGCAGATTCTGAATTAGCTCTGTACTTCATTTTACTTTCTAACAGTTTCTCCAATAGCAAAGTGAATTTACACATTATATGTCAAAGGTCACTATAAAGTAATATTGCCTCTTTAGTCAAGAATTTGTGTATGTATTTACAGTGTATTAATGTGTTTTGTTTTTTTTAATTTTCATCCCTAACTTAGAAAATAGTCTATTTGTTTTAAATGGGATTGATAATTTGTAATGATTCCTCCTAGGTACTTTTTGCATACAAAATGGAGAATATATACTTCTGTCTATCCTTTTTCATTTTAAAATTATTGTTTGTAATTTGCTTAATTGTATTTTGAAATTCAGATTGCCACTAGGTGGCAATATTGGTTTTTAAAATTTTAAAGAAATGTAATTCCTGCTTATTATTGGATAATAATAATTTACTGCTACCCCTTCCCCTCCTCTCCCCCTCAGCATTTAATTTGTATGCTAGTGAATGGGACTAGGACTTAATGATAAGGTTACCACCATTTAAATACTAACGAGTTCTTTATCCTTTGCTTTAATGACTATTTTAATTCTAAAATTATTTCCCAATAAGAAAGTACAGTATAAGGATTTAAACAGTTACCATAGGACATTCTTAATTTGCTCAGAGTGACTTCGAAAACCTGGTAGATTTACTTTTGGCAGACGGTCTAAATTTTCAATGACTCTTAGAACATTAGAGCTAAGACCATACAGAAAATGTAGTCTAACCTCCCCTCCTCCCCTCCCCTTATTATTATGAAGGTGATTTTGAGGCCCAAACAGTTTCGAGTAATTCACGTTAAGTCACATAGCTAGTGAGTGCCCAGGATCCGATCAGAACACAAGCTCTCCTGACTCTTCATTCATTCAGTACTCTACGCTAGGGGTTCTCAAGCTTTTTGGTCTCAGGACCCCTTTACACTCTTAAACATTATTGAGGATTCCTCTCTCCAGTAGCTTTTGTTTATGTGGGTTATGTCTATTAACATTTACCATATTAGAAATTAAAGCATTTTAATATTATTACAAAAATGATTTTGGCTTTGCAGATGCTCTAAAAGAGTGTTGGGGATACCCAGGGGTCCCTGTCCTACACATTGTCCTAAACAATGAATTTTTAAAAAATCAGAATGACTTTTTATATTTCAAATCCACTTGGTAGTAGAGAAATGAATTGGTGTTTGATTCTGGGGGTGTGCCTGATGCTAAGAAATTATATGTAAGCATTGTATACTACTAACTGCATTTTTAGATGGCAAAAAGAACTTTGAACAGCTGGAACTAGTTCCAGAAGTTTGCCACTGCTCAGTGTTTTCACTGACCTTGTTAAGTTGTGCTTGAATATAAAAATCTGCCAGCATTCAAAGATGTAGATATGTTGTCATTTCTGTGATTCCTCATCGGCTTCCATCTACCCTCATTGCCTTGGCAAGCTATTATCTACTTCTCCTTTGCCTTAAGGAGCTAAAATACTCTCTGACTAAAAGCACAAATGTCTTCTATCCTTACAACATGACTATAAAAGCTAGTACCTAAAGGAAAGTTCTATCCGTAACTGGTTGTAATACTCTGCACAAAGTAGAGAGATGATGTAATTTACCTTTCTTCCTTTTCAGAAAAGTTTTGTTCCCTATGGTTTGTTATTTCCTATAGCTATTTTCTGAAAGTAAAGAATGAATTAAGAGGTCAGGGTAGGAGGGCTGAAATTGTGAGCATATAATAAATTTTGCTTTGAAGAAGCTGATGATGATCTCATCAGCGTGGTCTGTCCCTCCACCAAGAGAAAGAGCAATGCTTCTACACCTTATCAACCAGTGTAATTCTTGCCCATGTTTTTCCATAACTCCTCTATAGATAATAATCTAAGTTAAGAACATGTCTTGACTGTGCACTGTGTACCAAGAACTATGTCAGGGTAGAGGTTTCAAAGTGATACTTTACTCTTGAAAGGAATTTATAATCTATTTGCAGAGACAAATGTGTGCCTACACGAGCAATATTAAGGTTGCTTTTGAAGTAATAGACAATTAAGCACAAAATATGGATGCAAACCAAGTCTATGATTTATTCATTATGTTGGGTTTTTTGTTTTTGTTTTTGTTTTTGGTGAGGCAGTTGGGGTTAAGTGACTTGCCCAGAGTCACCCAGCTAGTAGGTGTTATATATCTGAGGCCGGATTTGAACTTGGGTCCTCCTGATTCCAGGGCCGGTGCTCTATCCACTGTGCCACCTTCCTCAGTATTTTTTTTTTAAAGAATCTACAAATGGTATCTGTGAAGAGAAGACATTCTTGCTTTGGGAAAAAAAAACTATAAGAAACCAAATACATAATTCTAAGCCCATCTGAGACACAAAGGGACATATATGAAAGTATAAACTGATATAGGGACAACTATAAACATTATTGTTAAAAGCCAGGAAAAAAGGGAGGACAGTGTGATACAATGGAATGAATGGTGGTTTTGAAGTCAGAGCAAATCCTGGTCAGAAGTTACTTGGGCAAGTTGTTTGATTTCTCTGGGCCTCAGTTCCTCATTTGTTAAAAGAATTTGGACTAAGTAATCCCCAAGTGCCTTTCCAGCTTTGAATCCATGATCCTATGAAAAAATTGGATGGAGTTAGCCAGGGAGTGCAATGAGGCTCTTTCTTCTCCCTGTTCTTGTCAAAATTTTGGCATTTGACATAGATTATCCAATGTTCAGATGACAATAAAAGGAGGAGGACTAGTGAGTATGTTGGGTGTCACACATGGAGTCCAAAAAGAGATTAACAGACTAGAACAAAGTTGGTATTTGTTGTTCCCCAGCCCACTTTCTGAGGTTAGGAGTAACGGAAACAGAACTCAGTGTTTCTCTAAGTGTCTTACAGTATCCATGTGACACCAGCTAGCAGTGGTGGGGAAATATGCTGGCTGTGCAAATCGATTGATTCAAATTCTGGATTCCCCAAAGAATGTTCAGAAAGACCTACCTCATTTCCTTTGATGCCCATGATTCTCCAGGGCACTGCTCCTCCCCAGATGTTCAGGCATTAGTCCTGGATGGCCTGCTTCTCTTTATGGTTTATACTCATTGGTATGTTTGCACATGCTTATTCCCAGCTCCAGGGCAGAAGCCCTTTGTGTCCTGTCAGTGGTTCTTCTGTACTTGTCTATCGTATAATAAACATAAAAGCTAGCATTTATATAGTGCTTTAAGGTTTGCAAAGTACTCCATGTATGTTGTCTCATTTGATAGTTTTGCCTTGCAGAGAAGAAAGGGAAGGAAGAAAAGAAGGAAAGGAAGGAAAGAAGAAAGAGAAGGAAGGAGGGAAGAGAAGGAAGAAAAGTAGGGAAGTAAGGAAGGGAAGGAAGGAAAGAAAGAATGGAAAGAAGAAAAAAGAGGGAAGGAAAGGAGGAAGAGAAGGAAAGAAAGAAGAGAAGGAAGAAAAAAGAGGGAAGGAAAGAGGGAAGAGAAGGAAGGAATGGAAAGAAAGGAGGAAAAGAAGCAAGGAAAAAAAGAAGGAAGGAAGGAAGGAAAGGAGGGAAGGAGGAAGGATTAAGTACTTACTATGTACAGAGGATACAACTGGATGAAAAAAGAAAGACAATCCCCACCTTCAAGGAGCTTATGTTCTAATGGGGGGTGGGGAATGAGGGTACTCAGCAGGAGTATGATTTTGAATCTGGGGTGATTGGAGTTGGGGGCCCAAATGAGCCTCTCTTCAAAATGGAAGACTCT